TATTCCCCACACTAGGGCTATGCATATACCATAGGGAAAGGGTGTGTTTGCTCCAGCAAGCCAATTAAAGGCAACCCTTCAGGACAGGCAAGAACGCTGTATGCATCATAGCCTATGATTTGTGTGATAACATCAAGGTCAACATACCCTTACACTAGGAACAGTAAAGTAGGAATCAGGAGGCATCCACGGGACTGGGGTTAATCAGAAGTCAACATGGTGGATTCACATCCAAAATAACCAGAAAAGATTAACCACCACAAGTGAGACTAAAAGTTGTCACCATGCCCAGACAGACTTTTCATCTACTTTGCTGAGAGCAATTCTGAGAGATTACCTGAGACTTAATCTGCATAAGACTACCTTTTTGCAGTGCAGTTCTGCCCCTCACCTTCCCATAACTTGTCCCATTCGGTATCTAAAAAAAAAATTATTTACAAACTATTGTCTGCTTTTTTCAAACTTTTATTTTAGTTCCAGGAACACATGTGGAGGTTTGTTACACTGGTAAATTGCATGCCATGGGGGTTTGGTGTACAGATAATTTTATCACCCACGTAATAAGCATAGTACCCGACAGTTTTTTGATCTTCACCCTCCTCCCACCTTTCACTTCCATGTAGGACCCCAATGTCTGTTGCTCCTATCTTTATTTCCATATGTATCCAATGTTTAGCTCCCACTTATATGCGAGAACACATGGTGTTTGGTTTTCTGTTCTTGCATTAGCTCACTTAGGATAATGGCTTCTAGCTGCATCCATGTTGTTGCAAAGGACACGATCTCATTTTTTTATGACTGTGTAGTATTCTGTGATGTATATGGCAGCACATTTTCTTTATCCACCACTGATGGACATTTGATTCTATTTTTGCTATTGTGAATAGTGCTGTGATGAACATACATGTGCATGAGTCTTTATGGGAGAACAATTTATATTGCTTTGGGTATATACTCAATAATGGGACTGCTGGGTCAAATGATAGTTCTGTTTTAAGTTCTTTGAGAAGTCACCAAACTGCTTTCCACAGTGACTGAACTAATTTGCCTTCCCACCAGTAATGTGTAAGCATTCTCTTTTCTCTACAAACTTAGCAGAATCTATTATTTTTTGACTTTTTAGAAATAGCCATTCTGACTGGTGTGAGATGGTATCTCATTGTGGTTTGCTCTTTGGGTCCATTTGATCCTCCTAAAAATCATTTACAATCCTTCAAATTGCCTACATTTCCCTCATCTCCCTCTATGTAACTTTCAATCATTTGGCTTTTCTTTGAGTCACGTATTTTTGGGACTCCTGTGTCCATGTGCATGTTCATAAATTTGTATATGTCTTTTCTCTTTTTAATCTGCCTATAAGTTCATTTCAGGGATCCTTCAGAGGATGGAGAGGAAGCTTGTCCTGCACTCCTACAATAGTGTCACTGTCCAGTACTGGCTCAAGCTAAAAACCTAGGTGCCAAACTTGTGGCCCCTTTCCTTCTCCAACATCACCAAATGCTGCTGGCCCTCTAAGTGAGGAAGGTCTCCACTACCTTTGCCCTAATGTAAGGTTTTTTTTGTTTGTTTGTTTGTTTGAGACAAGAGTCTCACTCTGTCACTGAGGCTGAAGTACAGTGGCACGATCTTAGATCACTGCAATCTCCACCTCCCAGGTTCAAGCAATTCTCCTGCCTTAGGCTCCTGAATAGCTGGGATTACAGGTGCCCACCACCATGCCTGGCTAAGTTTTGTATTTTTAGTAGAGATGTGGTTTCACCGTGTTGGCCAGGCTGGTCTTGAACTCCTGTCCTCAAGTGATCTGCACCTCAGCCTCCCAAAGTGCTGGGATTACAGGCATGAGCCACCGTGCCCAGCCTGGTATGTTTTAAGTTACAACCATCCTCTCTGCTCTTGGGTCCTGTAGACCTCCCAACTGGCCTTCCTGCTTCACATCCATTGGCCATGGAGTGATAAAAAAGCCTGAGTCGGCTGGGTGTGGCAGAACTTTGGGAGGCTGAGGTGGGCAGATCACAAGTTCAGAAGATTGAGACCATCCTGGCTAACACGGTGAAATCCCGTCTTTACTAAAAATACAAAAACTTAGCTAGGGGTGGTGGGGTGCACCTATAATCCCAGCTACTCGAGAGACTGAGGCAGGCGAATTGCTTGAACCCAAGAAGTAGAGGTTGCAGACAGCCAAGATCACACCACTGCACTTCAGCCAGAGTGATGGAGCGAGATTCCATCTGAAAAACAATCAACCAAGCAACCATCCCCCTAAAATAAAAGCCCAAGTCTGATCATGTCACTCTCCCATGTAAAATTCTTCATTGTCTTTCCTTTGCTCTGCATAAATCAGAGGTCCCCAACCTCTTTGGCATCAGGGACAAGGTTTATGGAAGACAGTCTGTGGTGAGTGGGGCAGTGGTTTTGTGATGATTCAAGTGTATTCCGTTTATTGTGCACTTCATTTCTATTATTATTATTACATCATAACACACAATGAAATAATTATAAATCTTATCATAATGTAGAATCGGTAGGAGGCCCAAGCTTGTTGTCCTGCAACTAGACAGTCCCAGCTGGGGGTGATGGGAGACAGTGACAGATCATCAGGCATTAGATTCTCATTAGGAGCCTGCAACCTAGATCCCTTGCTGCTCACTTCCTGTTGTATAGACTGATTCCTAACAGGCCAAGGACCGGTACTGGTTGGGGACCCCTGGTGTAAACTCACTCCATGAGGTCTTGCATGATAAGGCCCAGCCATGCTGACATCATTTTTTCCTTAAACACGTTAAGTTTCTTCCCATCTCTGGGCCTTTGGGATACTATGCCTTCTGCCAGGAACACCCTCTCTGTGTGTTTGGCATGGTGACAACTCGTGTTTGATTCAAACACGAGAAATCTCTGATAGCTGTGGCTAAAGCATGCTCTCCCAGTTACTTACAACCCTTTTACTTCTCTTCAGTGCCCTTGGTCTAATATTTGGTTTACTTGTTGTAGTAAGGTGGACTACTAAGGACCCTAGTAAGGACTCTAAGGCAGAGCCCATAGTCCCCTCTGTGCTTACCTGCCCTTGGGTGACCCCTCCTCATGAGAGTGGGTAGTGGTTCCTGGGACTTGTTTCTAACCAGCAGAACATGGATAGAGTGGTCCAATGTTTGTGATTGTGCATGCATGATCATGTTCTCTAAGAATGTAATGTCTATCTTGCTGACACTGTCCCTTGATGGCTTTGAAGAAGCCATTTGCCACAGTGAACTGTCACGGGGAGAGGAATGTGCAGCAAGGAACTGAGGGCTTAAGTCCTGTTGCCAGTTGGATGCTGCCAATGACCATGTGAGCCTGGAATATGGTCCTTAGACCCCAAATGAGAAACCAGCCTTGACGACAGTGTGATCACAGGCTTACAAAAGATCTAGCCAAGACATTTCTGGACTCCAAACACATGAAAAATGTGAGATTAAAAATGCTTGCTCTTTCAAGCCAATAGTTGTTAGCAAACTGTTATATAGCAACAGATAACTAATATGCTTGCTTACTCACTCTTGCATTAGGAAGAAAACTTCAGGAGGGAGACCAGGGATCCTTGCATTCTTTATTAAAGCTGCAGAACCCAGCTGACTAAACAGCACAGAAAGATAATATCAGACACTTGCATGAATGAAGAAAACATCCAATAAACAGTAAGTGTTACTATTAATTGTTATATTAACAGTGGGCTGACCTATTATCCCCTCTGTTTTTTGAATAGCCACCATCCCAGCCCCACCCCATCTGTATATCTCATCCTCCTAGCCACTGTGATTGGTCTGGGCTTGCTCACATGACCCAAGTCTGTCCAATCAGAGCCAAATCCAGAACTTTGTATATACTGTTGGAAAAAAGCAGTTTTCTTGCCCTGGATGGAGCTTCTGGGACCTCCACACGGAGTGGGTCTGTCTGCAAAAGTGGCTCACACTGAGGAAAGCTGTACTGAGATATGAGGGGTGAGAGATGCCTAATGACACCACCCAGCCCCTGCAATTAGCAGCCCCTCAAGATTTACCCCTTGGCTTTTTTTTTTCCCTTCTCCCCACCACCTCTCTTTTTAAAGTAATGTTGAACTGGGTGTCTACCACAAGCAACTAAATTCCTATTACCCAGCACCACCATGAAATTGATGGGGAATAGACAAGTCTAATGCATGGAGCAGAGGGGAAAAAGAGCAAAGAAAAAAAGCCCACCCAGATAAATATTTAATGAAATGCCACAGCAAATAAACCACTCAATAATTCCACTGGGAAATCCCATAGGAAGTTTTATTATTTATTTACTTTCTAGTCCTTTAGCATTTTTATTTTAAGAAATGGCTTAGACCAGGAGTAGTGGCTCATGCCTACAATCTCGGCACTTTGGGAGACTGAGGCGGGTGGATCACCTGAGGTCGAGAGTTCAAGACCAGCCTGACCAACATGGTGAAACCACGTCTCTACTAAAACAACAACAACAAAACAACAACAACAACAAAAACTAGCTGGGCATAGTGGCAGGCACCTGTAATTCCAGCTACTTGGGAGGCTGAGGCAGGAAAATCACTTAAACCCAGGAGTCGGAGGTTGCAGGGAGCCAAGATTGAGCCATTGCACTCCAGTCTGGGCAACAAGAGCGAAACTCCATCCCAAAAAAACAAAAAGGAAGGAAGGAAGGAAAGAAGGAGGGAAGGAAGGAAGGAAGGAAGGAAGGAAGGAAGGAAGGAAGGAAGGAGGGAAATAGCTTAGCAGGTTAAGTTCTTTAAAACAGTATAAAAGTATCAAGTACAAATATGTAAAAGATTAACAGCACTTAACAGTACTCAAAAGAATAGTGGACACTATACCTTTAGAGTTTTTTGAAAAGACTCTCGGCCACAAAGTTACATTTGGACTCTATTTTCCAACTTGGAGAGGCCATTATTCCCAAATGTTGCTGTTCTTTCTGATGAAAAGCAAATACCACAGAAGAGCATGTTCTGCTTTGGATTTTTTTTTTTCACCTTATTTCACATGAGTAAAAAAATGAACAGCTGCCCTCATTATTGAAAACAAAAAACAACAGACAATCACTGATGCTCCCAATGGAACTGTTGGACGTGAGTCTCGAAGCTTTGGGGTCAATGGGCTAGACTTTAGAAGCCCAGTTCCCCGCCAAGACCAAGTCTGCATACTTGGGTCAGGATGAGCTGTTGAGCCATCGCATTTCTCTGCTGCTTCTTTACATGGGAACCAACACAAGAACAACACAATCCCTAAATTGGCTGCTGCGGGACCCTACAAATAAGTGAAAAAGTGGGATGACACAGCCAAGGAGTGCTTGCCTACCCAGCCCCCTTCTTCTAAGCCATAATCCCAAGGGGCGAGTACAATCCAGCAGTGCTTGAAAAGAAGCCCAGCCTCTGAGCAGCCACTCATTCCTGGTAAAGCCCCTTGAAGTCTGTGGCCTTCATGGCCAGCTGACAGTCGCCATTGGAGTTTTGCTGTGTCAGTGGTCTGCTGAATAACAAGAGGAAATGGTTAGCTTTAGGACCTCAGTAGAGAGCAATGTGGGAAGTGTGCGTAGCTGAATACATGATGTTCTTTTTGCTCATTTATTTTTAGCTGCTTCTTGCAACCACACCAGGCCTATGCTCATTATACAGATGAAGAAACTGGGGGCGCAGGAGGTTAAAATGACCAGGTTAGGAGTAGGGTTACTGCTCCTTTCCCATCTTCTAATTTGGATATATATTATGTTTTTCTCAATTATCTGTGTCCTCACAAGAATCCATTGAGAATGGTACATTAAGAGTAGCTATTTTGTCTATTTTACCAATGGACAAAAATTGAGATCAGAGAAGTCAAGCAGTCTGTTCAAGACCACACAGTTAAAAAACATGGCAGGGTGGGCATTCAGACCATGTCTTCTACTTCTAATTAGTGTCTTGACACCTTCCATGGAAAGGAGTTGCAGGGGAGGACGAGTGAATTAGTCCATTCTCATGCTGCCAGTAAAGACCCGACACCAGGTAATTTATAAAGAACAAGAGGTTTCATGGACTCATAGTTCCACATGACTGGGGAGGCCTCACAATCATGGTGGAAGGTGAAGGAAAATCAGAGGCACTTCTTATATGGCAGCAGGCAAGAGAGCATGTGCAGGGCAACTGTCCTTTATAAAACTATCATATCTTGTGAGACTTATTCACTATCATGAGAAGAGCAATCATGGGAAAAACTCACCCCCATGATGTAATTACCTCCCACTAAGTTCCTCCCATGACACATGAGGATTATGGGAGCTACAACAAGATGAAATTTGGGTGGGGACACAGCCAAACTGTATCAGGGGAAAGGAAGATAAACTAGTCTGTCTTCTGCAGTTCTTGTGACTGTCAGAAGACTTTACTATTAACTCAGTTGGATCCATGGTTGATCTCTGAATTTCAAAAACCCTTACCATCATTGACACCCCACTGTGGAAAACCACAGCACACACCAGAGTTTGGCTGACCAGGAGACATTTCCCAAACCCTTCTCTTAAAGTTTTATGCTACAGAAGATGACACAGCTGAACACTCCCAGCTTAGAGTGGGGATACGCTTTGGATGTTTGTCCCCTCCAAAAATCATGAAATGTGATCCCCAGTGTTGGAGATGGTGCCTGGTGGGGCAGTATTTGGGTCATGAGGGTGGATCCCTCTTGAATAGCTTGGTGTCATCCTTGTGAAATGACTGAGTTCTTGCCCTGAGTTCACGCAAGATCTGGTCATTTAAAAGAGTGTGGTACTTCCCTCCTCTCTCTCTTGCTCCTGCTCTTGCCATGTGACAATGGCTCCCCTTTGCCTTCCACCATGACAGGAAGCTTTCTGGGGCCCTCACCAGAAGCAAATGCCAGCACCATGTTTCCTATATGGCCTGTAGAACCATGAGCCAAAATAAACCTCTTTTCCTTGTAAATTACCTAATCTCAGGTATTTCTTTAGAGCAATGCAAAAACAGACTAACACAAGCAGCCATCTGACAAAGTCCTAGACAATGAAGTCTGTTGGGGTATAGTGGTGAGAGGTCCTGGGAAATATTTACATCATAAAAAAGGTCAGACTCAATTTTTTTCTCCTTTTATTCTGCCTTGAAGGTAGCTGGTGCACCTGGAGCTGTAGCAGGTATCTTTTGGCCATGAGGTAGGAAACCAATGGGCTAAGGATGGCAATACAGTAAGGCAAAAGGTGCTGGATATGTGGATACCACACAGCAGCTGCACCATCCCTGGGTAGTCTCCAGCTTTTCATTAAGCAATAAAAATAAGTTCCCTGTGTGTTTAAGCTAGTATCTACTTTGGTTTTTTCCATTACTTGCCACCTAAAGCATTCCTCCCTGATAACAAAAAACTAAGGAAGAAGTCTTTCCTTTTCTTAGTAAACATGTAAGAAAGCTAGTTATGCTCAGGCTGGTTTAGAAGATTATGATGTGGGATAGTGAGTTTGGTGGCTCTACAGATAAACACAGCTGCCCAGGGCCTGACTTCTCCCAAGCTGCAGGCCCTGGGAGGTCTTGCTGTCTCCATAACAAAGCAGTGTGGTTTTGCCCCTCGGAGGCTAGTTGATCTACATCACAGGCAGGTCAGTATCTTTGATCTAAATATTGTTTAGCTGATTTTCATAAGTAAGGGAAATTTAGTTTTGTTTCCTTTTTAAAAAATTTAAGTTGTATTATCTTTTGTGTTTTAGGGCCAAAATTCCATTAAATCATGACATAAATTGTATAGCTCCTCTTCCCCTCACTGCATGCTTTTGATCATTTAATGAAGGAGTTATCTTTTTTTGAGTTATAAAGAATTCACTAATGCAGGCTGGGTGCAGTGGCTTACGCCTGTAATCCCAGCACTTCATGAGGCTGAGGCAGGTGGATCACTTGAGGTCAGGAGTTCGAGACCAGCCTGGCCAACATGGTGAAACCCCATCTCTACTAAAAATATAAAAATTAGCCAGGTGGGGTGATGTACTCAGGAGGCTGAAGCATGATAATTGCTTGAACCCAGGAGGCAGAAGTTGCAGTGAGCCAAGATCAAGCCACTGCACTCCAGCCTGGGTGACAGAGCGAGACGCCATCTCAAAAAAAGAAAAAAAAAAGAAATTTGCTAGTCAGAGGTTCTCAGATGAAAACTATATTCACAATAACATGACCTATTATATGCCTTTTCACTCACATTCTCTCACAAGGGAACAGTGCAATTTTTCAAAATATATTTGGGACATTTGCATGATTCAATGAGCCAACATTCTCCCAACGACCAACATGTGAAGTTACAAAATCATGCATGGTAAAGATCAATTTAAAGTGTGAGATAGACCTGCAGATTTCAATAGAATAGAGTACAAGAATTTCACATTTCAGCTAACCTTTAAGAAACTACCACTTATGGAGTTCTGGTGTACTATCATAGAATATCCACAATCATTTGAAAAAGCTTTGCCTCCCTCTCCCAACTACACTTCAGTGAGGCTGAGTCTTCTTCAAATACTTCAACCAGAGCAACATAGCACAACAGAATGGATGCAGGCATACAAGCGAGAAGCCAGCTGACAACTGTTAAGGCAGATATGAAAGAGATTTGTAAAATGTGAAACAATGCCATTCACAAATTTTATTTTGTTTTGGAAAATATAGTTACTTTTCATTAAAACACGTTATTTATATCAACAGGTAATATTGTTCCTGTGAAATGAATAGATATTTTTAAAGTTTATGTTATGATTTCTAATTGAATAATTATTTCCGAAAAAGGAATACTGAGGAAGAAATTTTTTAAAAAAGAAATAATTATTAATACTCTTTTTCAGACAGAGTCTAGCTCTGTTGCCCAGGCTGGAGTACAGTGGTGCAATCATAGCTCACTGTATCCCCAACCTCCCAGGCTGAGGCCATCCTCTCTCCTCGGCCTCTTGAGTAGCTGAGACCACAGGCATGCACCACAACGCCCAACCAATATTTAATTTATGTTATGTTTATTTTAATTCATTTTACTGTATATAGATTATGTCATGTTATTTATTTTAATTTATTTTTCACTTCATTTCATTTATTTTTTGAGACAGGGTCGTGCTCTGTTGCCCAGGCTGGAGTGCCTGGAGTGCAGTGGTGTGATCACAGCTCACTGCAGCCTTGAACTCCTGGGCCCAAATGAGCCTCCTATCTCAGCCTCCTGAGTAGCTGGGACTACAGGCATGTACCACCACATCTGGCTAATTTTTGTATTTTTTGTAGAGATGTGGTCTTGCCATGTTGCCTAGGTTGGTCTTAAACTCTTGGCCTCAAGCTGTCTTCCCTCCTTGGCCTCCCAAAGTGCTATTAATACAATTAACCACATAAAGAAAAACTCCTTGGATGCCTCAATAATTTTTAAGAAGTTAAAATGGGACTTGAGAACAAAAAGCTTAAGAACCTCTGCCCAAGTGGAAACAATTGATTGGCAGCAATAGGGAAGGGTAAGGAGAAGTACATATCCTGGATTTCTTTTCCAATTTCTTCATTAATAAGCAGGGAGTCAGATTTTGCTTCTTCCTTTGACATAATTTTTAAGAACTTACCCTATTACAGCAGGGTTCAGAGATAGGGAGGGATTTTATTTCAGAAGCATCACCCTCAATATGCAAAATAGGCCAATATTTCTTCTTTAATGTCTTTACGACTGGGAGTTGAGTCGGATGCCTCACGCCTATAATCCCAGTCCATTCAGAGTCCAAGGTGGGAGGACTGCTTGAAGCCAAGAGTTTGAGACAGCCTGGGCAACATAGCAAGACCCTACTTTATACATAAAATACAAATGAACAAACAAAAGACTAAGAGTGATCAAAGTGATTTATGAAAAGGTGAATATGACTCCAGATATATCAATTAAGCAATCCTATGAGAGCCATCCTTGAGTGATTTTATACTATATCCACTTCACTCCAGCCTGGGAGTGAAGTGGATATAATATTTTTCAACATATGAATAATGACAGGATAACCTTTTATTTTTCAACATATTAATAATGACAGGATAACCTTTCGGTAAGGAGATCAAGGGCTGTTTTATAGAAAAACAAAACTTGGGATATCAGTTCTTATAGAGCAACAATTGGCAAACCATGGGCCTTGGGTCAAATCCAACAAGCTGCCTGTCTTTGTAAATAAAGTTTTATTGGAACACAGCCATGCCCATTCATTTACTTCCTGGTCTGCACTGCCTTCATGCTACAGCAGTAGAGTTGAATAACTGCAATAGAGACTATATGGCTTGCAAAGCCTCAAATACTATCTGGCCCTTTTCCAGAAATTGTTTGCTAACTCCTGTTTTAGAGAGTCACTTTGTATCTTGATTAAGAGGGCTTTGGAATTAACTGACATAAGTCCCTTCTGGGCTACTCTTGGCTTAAGGGACATGGCTTAATTTTCCTTATAATAGAAAGGGACTAAATTGTAAGGATTACATGAGATAAGGCCTGGAAAGTATTTTGAGTCCCTGGCACAGAACAAGTGCTCAGTAGCCACTATCATCAACTTAGCAGGAGCTTAAATGAAGTATGATGAGCTTGGGACTTAGATTCTAAAATCAACACATAGGACAAAAATAAAGCATTAAAAAAAAAAAAAAAAAAACTCCTTTGGAAATCCCTTAGGCTGGTGGCACATTATAGACAAAAACAATGTCTCCCAGTAATGACAACATAGCTGGGTTTTCCCTCCAGCATTTAAGTAGATCACTGTTGCTTCACTTGAAGCCCCAGATGAAGTAGCTGGCATCGAAGAGCCATATTATAGGAACAAAAATCTACGTTTTCCCCTCCAGCATTTAAGTTAGATCACTGTTGCTTCACTTGAAGCCCCAGATGAAGTAGCTGGCATTGAAGAGCCATATTATAGGAACAAAAATCTATGTATTCAAACACGAGGCTCACACTCGGTTGGTGAGAAACTCACATTCTCAAGAGCAGAGGGGATCAAGACAAACTCTGAGCACAGAAGATTCATGGCTCCCATACTGTACTGCTTTGGGAGACAGGCATGGCTGGTGGGTCATTTTTCTCCTGTTCCTGTTCCTCTCCGCCCCACCCTGCCAAAGAAAACCACGTAATTTGCCATTTGTAAATTAAATGGACATCTTTTTTTAAGACAGAGTCTCATTCACCCAGGCTGCAGTGCAGTGGTGCAATCTCGGCTCACTGCAACCTCTGCCTCCCAGGTTCCAGCGATTCCCCTGCTTCAGCCTCCTGAGTAGCTGGGATTACAAGCACAAACCACCATGCCAGGCTAATTTTTTGTATTTTTAGAGAGACAGGGTTTCACTATGTTGGCCAGGCTGGTCTTGAACTCCTGACCACAGGTGATCCAACCACCTCAGCCTCCCAAAGTGCTGGGATTACAGGCATGAGCCACCAGGCCCGGCCTAAATGGGTATCTTTTAAAAGGGTCAATAATACTGATAGAGTTGCTATGACAATGAAATGTGTGTATCTGATGGAAGATGATAGCAATTGCTTTGTTTGCAATTCCATGGTAAATTCCCATTTGATGCCTGGCATACATGGGGACCTACAAGCAATATCTGGGTCTTACAATTTTCCTTCTGGACATCAACTAGGATTATGGTTTTATTTGTGAAAATCCCCTCAAGTGGCAAAGATTAAATTATTCAACAAGGTGTGTTGACTCATGCCTGTAATCCCAGCACTTCGGGAGGCAGAGGCAGGAGGATTGCTTGAACCCAGGAGTTACAGACCAGCCTGGGCAACACAGTGAGACACCATCTCTATTTAAAATAAAAAAATTTAGCTGGGTGTGATGGCATGCACCTGTAGTACCAGGTACTTGGGAGGCTAAGGCAGGAGAACTGCTTGAGTCTGGAAGGCTGAGGCTGCAGTGAGCTATGTTCATGCCACCGCACTCCAACCTGAGAGACAGAGGCCCTGTCTCAAAAAAAAAAAAAGGAAAGATTAAAAAAATAAATTATTCCATGGACATGTATTTACCTGGGAGAAAACGAGCAGTTGATGAGTCTGGAGGCTATTATATAGGATGCCATCATCATCCCCGACATGGCGAGTGATACGAAGCCCAAGCCACAGAGAATGCAGAGCAGTGAGAGACCACCCACAGAGATGACCAGTCCTAGGAGGAGAACGTGGTTAGAAGTGTTCCTCTCGAACAGGTTGAAAACTGGCAGACCCTGGGTCAGTGTGTTTAAAATAATGACAGCTAACTCAGAATTTTAAAGTAAGGAGATATCCCACAAAAACCCAGATTTCTGGCATCACGTTAAAAAAGGAGGCAATATGGGCACCTGAGTGGGCATCAAACCATGGCAACAACTGGCTGGCCCTCCTGTTGCCCCCAGTCTCTACAATTCCCAAATTGCATTACACATGGGCCACTTTGCTCATTTTGTCTTTTTTTGTTTTTTTTTTTTTTTGAGATGGAGTCTTGCTCTGCCTCCCAGGCTGGAGTGCAGTGGAGCTATCTCAGCTCACTGCAAACTCTGCCTCCCAGGTTCAAGCAATTCCCGGCCTCAGCCTTCCAAGGAGCTAAGATTACAAGTGCCTGCCACCATACCAGGCTAATTTTTTTTTTTTTTTTTTTTTTTTTTTTTTTTTTTTTTTTGAGACGGAGTTTCACTCTTGTTACCCAGGCTGGAGTGCAATGGCGTGATCTCGGCTCACCGCAACCTCCGCCTCCTGGGTTCAGGCAATTCTCCTGCCTCAGCTTCCTGAGTAGCTGGGATTATAGGCATGTGCCACCATGCCCAGCTAATTTTTTGGTATTTTTAGTAGAGATGGGGTTTCACCATGTTGACCAGGCTGGTCTCGATCTCTTGACCTCGTGATCCACCCGCCTCGACCTCCCAAAGTGCTGGGATTACAGGCTTGAGCCACCGCGCCCGGCCTAATTTTTGTATTTTTAGAGATGGAGTTTCACTATGTTGGCCAGGCTGGTTTCAAACTCCTGACCTCAAGTGATCCACCCACCCCGGCCTCCCAAAGTGCTGGGATTATAGGCATGAGCCACTGCAACCAGCCTGCTCATTTTGTCTTGCCCATAGGTGTTGGAGTATGAGATCCCCTTATCCTCATGGTCAGAGATGAACTTCCAAAAGGATCCCCCATGAGGAGTCAGCCAAGGCAGTACTAAGGGAGGTAAACTATCTCTAGTGTCTCAAACTGCATAATAAATGCCATTATTTACACGAACCTATAAGCTACAGGTATAAAGTAAAATCTAAATGCAGCTAAAGTAAAATCTAAATGCAGCTTTTGATGGCATCCTTGAAAATCCAGCCTGACAACTATTTTATTATTTTATTATTTTCTAAGTATTATTATTTTTTGAAATGGAGTCAGTCTGTCACCCACGCTGGAGTGCAGTGGCATGATCTCGGCTCACTGCAACCTCCATCTCCCAGGTTCACGTGATTCTCCTGCCTCAGCCCCCTGAGTAGCCGGGATTACAGAATTATCACATTTTAATCCTGAGGTCTGAGTGGGCATTTTTATGTATCATTTTATATGCCATTCCCATTCTTAATGAGAATATTAATGAATTACCTTCTAATACATGCAAGGAAAATACATTTTTCATAATGTGGGGCCTGTAGCGGGGGAAAGAATAAAAGATACAAGGAAAAGAGCATGACGAACAAATAACACGGCAAGTGTATGGCTGACATCCTTCCCTTGGCTTTGCCAGTGGCCAGTTAGCCTGGCATGCCTCCCACAGCCACAGCGTTGGTTTCAGGGATGGACCCTGAAAAGGCTGGAAGGAAGAGATCATCCACAGATGTGCTGCCTTTTCCTAAAGATTTCCAAATTTTAGATCAGTGTTTTTCAAAGTGTGGCCGCCAAGTAACTGCATTAGAATCAGGTGCATCAGGGAAACTTGTGTTTGAGACCAGCCTGGGCAACAAGACCCCATCCCTTAAAAAAATTTTTTTTAATGACAGATGCCCCAAAAGTGTTGTTCTCCCAATTGAGTTACTTTCCAAGGGTGTGAATGACAGAACAGGCTACCTTCCAGTATTATGACCCCCACCAGAGCAACCAGGGTGGTAATGATCACGAGGAGCAGGAAGAACCCAACAGGAACGGCCGATGTGACAATGAACACCAGCAAGGCGAGGGCCAGAAACGGATGCCTGTCCAAGTACTGACTCACTGGAGACTTCGTAAAGGCCTTCACCTGTGGGCAAAGGATGAAGAGCCAGGGTTAAGTACCATGCCTGAATCCCAGGTTGAATGGACCTGCCAAAGCTTTGGGAATTACAACCAGAGGTCCTAAAGCTGGAACACTCATGCATTAAGAAGTCACTACAACAAGACTTCTCCCAAGACATGAGTCACCCAGGCAGCAATCTCAGGCAGTTGTGGGCAGGTGGCATGTCCCCACCCAAGGTCAAGTCTTGTGAATGGAGGAAAGACTCAGTCATGGCTCTCCTGATAAACACACAGGCTTCAGAAGACCTCTTCAGCATAGAGGTGCATTGATGTAATGTACATACCATCTGCCTCCTGCTTTACAGCTGATGTTCTCATTGTTGAAGCCACTCAGACACACACAGGTTTAAGTCCTAGCTACTCGGATTACCTAGGAGCTTGTTAGAAACATAGAAACTGGCTGGGTGTGGTGGCTCACAACTGAAATTTCAGTGCTTTGGGAAGTCGAGGCAGGAAGATTGCTTGAGGCCAGGAGTTCAAGATCAGCCTGGGCAACAAAGCGAGATTCCATCTTGACAAAAAATTTAAAAACTACCTTAGCATGGTGGCACATCCCCATAGTCCTAGTTACTTGGGAGGCTGAGGCAGGAGGATCACTCAAGCCAGGAGTTTGAGGATGCAGTGAGTTATAGGTTGTACCATTGCACTTCAGCCTGGGCAACAGAGGGAGATCGTCTCCAAAAAAAAAAAAAAAAAAAAAAAGGAAATGCAGAATCTCAGGCCCTGATGAATCAGACCTTTCCTCCTTCCTTCCTTCTTTCCTCCCTTCCTCCTTCCTTTCTTCCCTTTCTCATTCTCTCTCTCTCTCTCTCTCTTTCAGCAGAGTCTCACCCAGGCTGGAGTGAAGTGGCACAGTCTCAGCTCATTCATTGTAACCACCACCTCCCAGGTTGAGGTGATTTTCCTGCCTCAGCCTCCCAAGTAGCTGAAATTACAGGCCTGTCTGCTGCCACGCCTGGCTAATTTTTGTATTTTTAGTAGAGACAGGGTTTCACTTTCTTGGCCAGGATGGTCTCAAACTCCTGATCTCAGGTGATCCACCCACCTCGGCCTCCCAAAGGGCTGGGATTACAGGCGTGAGCCACCGCACCCAGCCAGAATCTGCTTTTTTAAGCGAGATTCTCCAGGTGTTTTGCATACATATTAAAGTTTGAGAAGCAACGGACTAAATCACTTATCTAGAGTCACACAGCCTCCAAGTGGCAAAATCTCAACATTAAAAGCTAAGGCCTAGCTGGGCGTAATGGCTCACACCTGCAATCCCAGCACTTTGGGAGGCTGAGGCAAGTGGATCACCTGAGGTCAGGAGTTCGAGAACAGCCTAGCCAACATGGTAAAACCCATCTCTTTAAAAAATACAAAAATCAGCCAGGCATGGTGGCACGTGCCTGTAGTCCCAGCTACTAGGGAGGCTGAGGCATGAGAATCACTTGAGCCCAGGAGGCGGAGGTTGCAGTGAGCCAAGATGGCACCACTGCACAGCAGCCTGGGTGACACAGCAAGACTGCTTTTCAAAAAAAAAGGTGAGGTCTTTGACTCAAAAGGTCCAATACTTTTAGCAGCTACCAACACATCAAGTAGAAATGCTTTTATGTCATCAACCTTATCAACCTGTTACCATAGTTGGCCACAGCCTGTGACTAATGCAAGTTTATGCTGTTAATAAATAGTTTATTTCCCTTCACCAGGCAAACAGAATTTTGGATCTGACTCAATAGAGGGAGACTGCTTTAATGTAGAGCTGGCCCTAGGCAAATCCACAAAGATGGGTTTCCCCGCCTCTCCTTCTTAGGCTCCATGCCTTCTCTCTCCCCAGTACTGGCATTCTAGATCCTGTTCACTTGAAAGGTACCATCATTCCAGAACCTTCTACCATCAGAACAGGTCCTTCCTAAGCTTCATTCCTAGGGCCTTGCAGGCCAGCAGATGAAAGAAAGACATAATTCAGGCCTCCAAAACACATGTGCTGCCTAGGAAGAAGAGTTTACCCAAGTGATTTCAACAGTGGGATTTTCAGGGTGAGCTGGAAGGCAGAAGGGGTTTGTGGTTCATGTTGAAGGAGCTATGAGTGCAAGCCACACCCTGCTTAAATAGAAGAGGCCATGCCAAGAAGCCGCAGCCATCGGTCTTGGGCTTCATTCAGCATGGTTTCCTAAGGATTACTCTGGGGGCATAGCCAATTTCACTCCCTGCCAGGCCACAGGACAGCAGAATGCCCACTGGCCTCACTGCCTCCTGCTACACCACCATTCTGACAAAAGCCACCAAAGATCTTGCTATTCCACTTCTCTAGCCAGAGATGACTGTAGCAAGAATCACCTCCGAGCCAGGGCTGCCGTCATCAGAGTCCAGTGAGATCCTGCTGCATTAGGTCAGCTGAAAGCCAGAGAGAAGTGGAGAGGTGCTAGGAGTCGCCACACAGAATGTGGGCTGGTCCCTTGCACTGTCTCAGGTCCTGACGTCTTTCCAGTTCTAGTCCACATGCATCTTTCTTTGATGCTTCTTCTGTCATCTGACCCTTACAATCAAAAGAACCACAGTGGAGAGGAGCAGATGTGCTCTCCAGGAAAGGGAGGCAGCAGTACACCAGTGAGTGTGCTGTGCCAGCAAGGGAAGGGCCATGCAGCGGAAGGAGCCCATGAGGCTGGGACGCCAGGATGCCAGGCTTGCCTGCTTACCCCAGGACTGTCCATCATCTGGCCACCTATGCCATTCAGCACTTGAAATGCTCCTCCTGTGACTGATAGCATGGATTTCCAATTTAATTAATTAATTAGTTTATTTATTTTTTAAGATGGAGTCTTGCTTTGTCACCCAGGCTGGAATGCAGTGGTGCGATCTTGGCTCACTGCAACCTCCGCCTCCCAGGTTCAAGCGAGTCTCCTGCCTCAGCCTCCCAAGAAGCTGGGACTACAGGCACACACCACCATGCCCAGCTAATTTTTGCATTTTTAGTAGAGACAGGGTTTTACCATGTTGGCCAGGTTGGTCTGGATATCTTGACCTTGTGATCCACCCATCTAGGCCTCCTAAAGTGTTGGGATTACAGTTGTGAGCCACTGCGCCCAGCCTTTAATTTAATTTAAAGCTGAGACTTGATTCAGTCACTGGAAAAATTTTAAGTATGTTTCAGATAGGTTGAGTATGTGAATCTATTTTGCTGAATTCTAAGTTTTATAAAATCTGAATAGAGGCTGGGCATGGTTGCTCAAGCCTGTAATCCCGGCACTTTGGGAGGCTGAGGTGGGTGGATCACAAGGTCAAGCATTTGAGACCAGCCTGGCCAACATAGTGAAACCCCTTCTCTACTAAAAATACAAAAAAAAAAAAAAAAAAAAAAAGGCAGGAATGGTGGTGGGCACCTGTAGTCCCAGCTACTCGGGAGGCTGAGGTGGGAGAATCCCTTGAACCTGGGAGGCGGAGGTTGCAGTGAGCCAAGATCATGCCACTCCAGCCCGGGCAACAAGAGCAAAACTCCATCTCAAAAAAAAAAAAAAAAAAAAAATCTGAATAGAAATCAAATATTTCCAATGAAAATTTGTCATTGGAATTGAGATGTGCTCTAAGTGTAGGAAAAAATTGCAAAATATCTCATTAATGACTTTTTATATTACTTACATGTAGACATTATAGTGTTTTGGATATATTGGGTTAAATTAAAAATATATTATTAAAATTGATCTCTGGCCAGGCACGGTGTCTTACCGCCTGTAATCCCAGCACTCTGGGAGGCTGAGGTAGGCAGATTACTTGAGATCTGGAATTCAAGACCAGCCTGGTCAACATGGTGAAACTCATCTCTAGTAAAAATACAAAAAAATCAGTTGGGCATAGTGGTGAATGCCTATAGTCCCAGCTACTCGGGAGGCTGAGGCAGGAGAATCACCTGAACCTGGGAGGCGGAGGTCGCAGTGAGCTGAGATTGTGCCACTGCACTCCAGCCTGGGTGACAGAGTAAGACTCCATTTCTAAATATCTAACTAAGTAAATAAATAAAATTAACCTCATTTGTTTCTTTGTATGTTTTTTAATGTAGCTATTAAAACTATTAAAATTAGCTGAGCATAAAATATATGTGGCTCACATAATATTTCTGCTAGACAGCACTCATTTAAAATTCATCTGGAAAAAAAAACAGGGAACAAACTGCTGGCATTTGAGCAGAACTATGGCATCATTAAAGGAATGATTTAAGAAATATGAACCTGTGTGCAAGAGGCAGGGAGAAAGACGTGTAGGAGATCAGGCAAGATATACTGATGGTCAAGTTCTGGCTGATGGCGGACAGGGAAGAGGACAGGGAGATGGGTATAAAAGTGGAATGACAGAAGAAAGAATACACAGGGCTTAGGGACAGTTTGGCACAGGGATATAAAGAGAAATAGGCAAGTCTGTTTTACTTCAGTCCTTAAGGAATCCACTTTTTTCTTAGCCTTTTTCTTTTTTCTTTTTTTTGAGATGGAGTCAGTCTCTGTTGCCCAGGCTGGAGTGCAATGGCATGATCTAAGCTCACTGCAACCTCCATCTCCCAGATTCAAGCAGTTTCCAGCTAATTTTTATATTTTTTAGTAGACATAGGGTTTCACCATGTTGGCCAGGCTGGTCTTAAACTCCCGACCTCAGGTGATCTACCCGCTAGGATTACAGGCGTGAGCCACTGCACCTGGCCATTCTTAGCCTTTTCTGATTCTGGGTTCTATAATCAAACAAATAGAAAGCCATTCACATATGCAAAAAGACCAAGATTCAGATGATTAAACCCAGCAATTGTCTTCTCCCAGGAAGTACAGCTGAGCTCCAGCCAGTCTGTCCTAGGAGGGGAGGACGCGGTTCAGCCACACCTAGTAATAACAGAGAACATTCATTAAACGCTCAGGTGCCAGGCACTGCATTAAGCACCTCCTGTGTTACCTCCTCAGTTATTTCTTCCTACAATGCTACAAGGTAAGTAAAAATGAACGACCT